GATACCTATTGAACCTTCCGTGTTTTGCATTTATGGCGTTGCACTGACTTTTTTACCATCCAAACCAAAACAACAACGCACGCAAATATTACAATTATAATAAATTTCTTTAATACTTCCTGACAATTACAACGAATATTCGCCCTCGAATGTTCCCTTGCGAACGTTTTACGACGTAAGAAATATTAATAGGTGAACCATAAAATTAAGAGAACCTTTAACGAATGTCGACATCCCACTCAACGGAAGAATTGGAACAATTTTATTCAGTTTAAAAACGTTTATAATGTCTGAGAAGTAATAAAATTTTCAAATACCATTGTTATTGTTGAAAGATAATAAGTCGAATTTTTGTCTAAGTATCTGTGACTTTCATATCTACCTTATTGATTTTGTAGATGATATCAATATAACGATGACTTTAAGAAAACGCAAAGAAAGTTTCTGATGGCGTATACTGATATTCTTATACCTATCTCATCTCAGGTAACTCTCCCATAATTATATAACATTTTATTATAGTAATAATTATTATATATCATTGTATGTTATTGAATAATTGTTTATACAAAATACTCTAATTAATATAGACAAGTGTGGTAAAAAAATTACCGATTAACTATTGAATCTTATAACGGATAAAACTACTAAATTATTAAATTCATTCAGGACAGTAAATGATGTGGAATAAAGGACATTTACCTATTATTACCACTGGGATCGTTCGCATGGAACCATCTCTAAATTTGTAAACAACTAATGATACCAATAAATCAGAACCATTGTTTGTGAAAATTGATGTTGAACTTTATCTGCATTGAACGACTGATCTGATAAATACAGAGTTACTTGTTTGTTCAAGGGCCCATTTCACATTTTTTGTAAAAATAGCCTTCAAACTTTTTATACTAATCAGTGGAAAAGTTTATTGTTAATTCATCTCTTTGTAGGCGCCATTGTGTTATAACGTAAACAAACTTTGTCTTTGCTTTAATCTGTATTATTGGACAGGAAAATAACAATAAATATCCAAAAAAACCTTTGTCAAGTGACTTTCATATGACGCTACTCTTGCATGCACAGCTTCTGTACTCTATTAATATTACTCACTATTCTTAATTCTTGATTACGGGTCGGGTTGTCCTTCACAACGGTTTCACAATAAATATTATTGTCTAATCGTTGTGAACGACAGGCATTATTGTGAAATCGTTGTGAAGGACAAGCTAAAATTGACGAATAATATAATCTAAAAACGTTTTAATTTTACGCAACAATTGCTCTTACGAAGGCTATTCTATTAAATTGAAAAGTATTTTTCTCTCTGGTTTTTACTGTCTTCTCTTCCGCATTCCGAATCTATCTTTTTTTCTTTAATGGATTAAAATCAAATAAATGGTAACCACGTCTCCGCTATTGTTTTATGCTTATAAGCTACCGTTAGAATCATAAGTTAGGATAAAGTGAGGTTAGTTAAGTTTAAGTTTTCAGCGCATACGAAGATCAATCTGACAAAGTATTTACTAGCAATGGAAACACTGATCCCCGTTACTAACAATCTTTTCCTCCATCCTCCAACCGTTTAAATTAATCGGTTCTCTTGTCAATCTTCATAACCATTAACGCTTCACTTGACCGCTGCACGAAGCCACCGAGGTCTCGACTCAGGGACAACGAGGTCATGGTATTTCTCACCTACCAACAATGGAGTAACCCTCAGTCCGTACTTAACAGATGAGTACTCAAACTACTACGAGCTACTCTTCACCGAAATTATAATCCTAAAGTTTACCCTAATATTATATAAATTTGAATCTTTTATATATAAATAAAAACCTCCTACAAGTCTATTTTAAATATATTTCCACAAAATATACCATAATATATTTTTCTTTAATTTATAAATCTAACTTTAACGACAAATACTGTTTTTTTTCCTGTAAAAAAAAAACATTTATATTTAATAAAACATTGTATAAGCTCTGCTTAGTTTAGAACTAAACATCTTTAATTAAATACCTAAATATTGCCAACCAACCAAATAAACGATTACCAACCAACGCATAATAAGTAAATACCTTTGGGAGCTCCGTTGAAGGTGATTGAAACAAAACCAATAATCAAGATTGCTTTGTATCAACTTTGTGTAAATATTTTCCAAGGCATCTGAGTGATCTGTTTGGATAAATAGATATAACAGAAAACAAAAATAATATTACACCTTTTGTAATCATCATATAACAAACTTTAATGTTACAAATGATATGTAAATATAATAACTAAATAAAATGCTTAATTAAATCAATATTACTTTTCTATTGTCCCGCGATATGCAGTATTTAGTATTTGACTTATGTAAATTAAATTATAATTTAAAGTTTTTTAAAGCAATATTAATATGAAATTGCATTTAATTGTTTTAATTTTTTTTCTTTATAAACTATTTATCAATATTGGTTCAATTCAAGTGTTGATAAATAAATACTAGATATATGTTTCATTGTGAAGCTACAAGGTCCCACTTCCACCTGAATGGGCACTTATAAAGACATAACTATATTTACTGGGCTCGACTGACTTACCAACAACATTTACATTGTCCAAAAGTGCCGTTTAGCGCGCCTTATCGACAAATGGAACCATTGGACTGTATTTCTTTTTTAATTCGAAGGACAAACACATAGGCGTTTGAAGGACAAGGCTTATGCGTTTGTTTAAATATAGATTTGGAAGCAGATAAGAATATAGGTATGTAAGAATTTATGTTATACGGTTTGTCGCCATACTATATTTAATGGACTCGATTGACAATCCAGCGGCATTTACATTGTGCAAATGGACAATTTAACACACCTTAACCACGAATAGAATCATCGGGCTGTATTTCTTTTCTAGTTTGAAGGTCCAACGCATTGGCGTTTGAAGGTCAAAACGCATTGGCGTTCGAAGGACAAACGCCTACGTGTATATCCTAATATACATCTGGAAGCAAATAAAATTATGTGCAAGGATCTGTATTATAGTTTGTCACCGCACTATATTTACTGAGCACGATTGACAATCCAAGGACATTTACATTGTCCAACCTTATTGACGAATGGAACCATTGGATTGGATTTCTTTATTAAAGGATATATAGGAGCAAATAAAATTATGTGAAACGATTTATTTTGTGCCTTCGTCGTTTTCTTACGTTTCATAATAACATATGTATATAAAAATATACCTATTTCCTTTTGTTCACATACTAACATTGTCAAACATATAGTTATATCAATAAATCAAATTAGTTTGAAGCATTAGGGTATGTATGTCATAACAGATTCTATTATGACCCTTTTCTTTTGGCCCTATTCTTCTTTATGGCCCTTTGAACTGAATTTATATAAATTAGTACAGAGGCATAACATAGGAGAGTCCTCAGGAATGAGAATCGACGAGGGCTACCATGAGAGAGACAGCGTGTTATATCCATAGTGGATTGTATGTCTCTAGTTAACGATTACTTTGCGGTATTAAAAAATGTACATTGGACACATTTTTACACATATATACTAATGAAACTCCTCAATATACTGCAACAACTTCCATTTATTTAATTTGTTAAATTTCAGTAAACTGATTATTCGCTTTGGAACCTTAGCGATCGAGATCTGGAAACTTAAAACCCATTGTTTTTCTCGTGAAGGTTAACAACCTTCAGTAATGTCACGCAATTGAAAGAAAATATTTGACGAGAAAGTCACGATATAAATAGGTACCACCGAGCTAGCTGGAGTGCGTGTCACGAAATACGATGATCAGTTTTCAAAACATAATACGCGTGACTAAATTGTGGAGACGATATCAATTATAAAAATATCAACACATTTTTATATAGATATTTTTCTTTTAATCACTTTTTGAAACACATACATCTGCGATCGAATAGATTGTTGTATTACAATGTAAAATATATACAAATGTTGTTGTATTTATAAAAAGGTTTTTAATAACCTATAATACTCGTACAAGCTATTATAATTATTTCTGCTGCTGGTAATCTGAAATTCGTGCAAAAACCGATCAATCGATAAAATAATATCGAGAATTATGAAAAAAAGCTTTTTGTGGTCGCTATTACAAACCTGAGCTTCCCTACGCATTACTTATTATTGGGCGGACTGAATTTCATATTTCCAAGTTCAATAGTAACCAATCTCTTGATACCTCAGTTCATAACGCATTTGTTTGTTATTAATATCAACATATTTAAATTTTTAAGTACTGTTACCTACTACACACATATTACACATTTATAAAATAATTTTTTATGATAAAAAATAATAATTAAAAATGACACACAATCTGTTTGTAAGAAAACTCTATTTTTTTCTAAATTCTAGCCAATATACAATTGAAAAATAAAATTGGTCCAACTAAGAATCAAAGCCGCTACCATGTCTGTATAATAACTACGTAGCTATCATTGCCTCACACACGTCATCATAATCTTTATTAATATTATAAAAAGTAAATTTGTTTGTTTGTTACTTCTTGATACCCCGATCGTAGGCCATGAACTTTCGTATTGACGTTGTATTTAGAAGGAAAAAGGATATTACACCAGTCACGTGGACAAAATTAGGAGTAAAACTAATAACAACCTTAAACAAATAACATAATAACAAAATAACAGATACAAACAAATTTCCTATCATTATTTATCTGAATATCTTCTTTAAGAAAAGAGCAACTAATTGTAATAAATAGGCTTATATGTTTCTATCTTTTCATTTAAGTTTCCTCAGTTTCCTCTTGTCGGTGCAACTAATTCATGCATCTTCTTCCAGCCAGTTCTATCCCAGGCCATATCCTTGACCTCCATATACGACATGACACCTAGTGTTTCTTTTATATATAAATAAATAAATATGTACTGCAACAAGAATGTAGAATAAATGCTTCGTCAAATATGACTATAAATATTACCTAGTTACAAATGATGCTTTCTTTTTCAGAGTTATCTCCGAATGAAGAGGCGCGACAGGCGGTTATAAGAGAACTTATAGTCACCGAGGCCGACTATATCAGACACTTGATGGCAATCGTTGAGGTACGTTAAACTTTATTCTTATATTACTAATTATAAACTCAAAGTAATTAAATGTAAATTTAATTACCAGAGGGAGACTTTGTACAAAAGTCGTTTGCTTGGGTACCTCTGTCCCATTCGTGTTTCAATCGTAAAGCAGTTGTGTTTGCATGACTGTATTTCAGTTTGAAGGTTGAGATATGGCGTGAATTCACAGGGTACAGAGGAATAACATCTGAGTCCTCAGAAATGGCAACGCATGGGCGAAACAGTATACTCTGTTATGTCTATGGTATTACTCATATCTATAGGCGACCATTTTTGATCAGATGGGCCGAATAAGCTTTATTTGCCATTCTAAGTTGTATAAAAAAAAGTTTGTTTATTTATTGCTTCTTAGCCCCTCAGTGACTCAGCCAATCATCATGATATTTGGTACTGCACATATTATTTCGGATGGTGAAGGTCATACTTCTATCTACTAAAGCTTTATATTTTTATCCCGGTCTTTGAACGTATCCCAAATGGACGAACTCACGGAAAAAAAAACTAGTATTAAATATATCTGTAAGCTTTTCGCGTCTTATCGGTTCGACCGAAGGGCACGAAAAGATTATACATTTTTATGGACCAAATTCGTTGTTTATTTTTTGTATCTACCACTATATTTATTGTTGGATACTTTGTAATACTAAATTTAAGTATTTATAATTAATAACTTTTGCCATAAATAACAATACTAAATAATCGAGAATTAAATTCTATAAACGTGTACATCTGTCATATTTGTAGATATTCACACTCAAATACTTCAACCTACACGGTTCTCATAATACGATTTCTTGTCTGATCTTTCAAAATATACCGCTTCCACGGTCAAAGACCGCTCATGTCAAAAGTTATCAGTCGAAAACGATGTCAACTTTATCCATACCCCTTTGACATATACGTAGTATTTTAATGGAAAATGAGATAGGCTTTTATCCCGCGTCACGGGAACAAAGTTGTGGGCACAGATGCTTGTATTTCGGATGCTTTTAACAATTACATCACAATCATGATATCCTTACTCATATTGTAAATGTGAAAGTGAGTTTGTTTATTTGTTACCTACATATTAGCGCTTTAATGATTTAACTTATTACTATAAAATTTGCTATACATGTACTATATGGGAGAGAGATGATTATTACGGGCTACAATTTATTCCGATCACGCGGATGATGTCACGGGTAAAAAGTAGTGTGCTTATAAAAACGATATAAGTTTAACAGTTTTCATTAATATTATGTTCATTTTAATATTCAAATAGCATTATTTTTATCTAAAAATAATATACTCACTGCTATAATCCCTAATGGGGTAAAGGTATTGTCATCGAGGTGAAAGTAACACTCGGCATGCCCACATTTCGCCTAGCAAATTGGATTCCTACGTGGCAGTGAAAGAACTCACTGCCGTCACCAGGGTTATTTTATATGTGTAGCCATATGGATGGTACTTGACACGAGTCACAAGCTGGATAGAGCGTAATACAATTTTTAAATAACTACTTTGCCTTTGTCAATCTATTACTTCACTAGAACTTTATCAAGTGTCCTCATTGACAATATCCTTTGAACAAGGCCTTACAAACAAATCACTTGACTATCGTAACTTCTTGTATGTTTTTTTATGTATGTTTGTACGTATGTATTATTATGTATTTACCACTACTCCAAGTTATCCCCACGTGACTCGTTACCTTCTAAGCAGATGTTCTCCCCCACACATGTGTTTGTAACATACACGGTAAACAAATATTACGTACTACCATTACGTACCTACAATGTTTTCTCATATAACCCACTTTTAATAATACGATATACCTATTTTCAAAATTGGAATATACACTTATTTTTCACAACCCTATTTACTGATTTACTATCTCTTCTACGAAATAATATTCTTGGGCAACAAGACACTCATACGATACTTTTTATAGAATCCAATTCGGAATCATGTAAACATTGCATATACTCTATCTGCTATGAGTATTATATTGCCATCAGGTAGTTATTGATCAAAATATCTAATAAAACATCGGACATTATTTTTTTAAATAAAATTATATTTATACGAGGGCAAATGAATAAATATATAGATGAACACATGATATCGATTGGATATATATTTTATCTGTGAAGCTACTAATCAGATGATTATGAACCATTATAAATTTTATAAATTGAAAATAAATAAAAAAATAAAATATCGTTAACTTGGCTCGGCTACAACTTAAATGAAACCATATTCAACTTCAGCTGAATGTTGTCGGGTGCAAAATGACTGTTGTACTCATATAATATTAGTCATTCGATCAATAGCTTAAATTTAAACGCACCTTTATCTGAACCTTCTGTTTTCGTGTAAACAAAACTTACCTACTTCATTTTATCAACTTTACAAATCAATTGTAAATGATTTAAAAATATATTATTAATGTAGTCATTCATAAAAGAGTAAAATTTTTCAGACTACTTTAAAATAAAAATAATAATGTTGATATTCAAAACTAGAGTAAAAGTGTTCGATTTAGTAGTATGTACTATTTTGAAACTGTATTTATAAAAGTGATCAGTTTGAATGAATATAGGATTATAAACTCGTAATAACTCATGCCAAACGAATTAGCCTAAAACGTAGGTGGCCTGATAAAAGAATATCATAATAAGTTAATATCTGAACATCTATGTGAGTTACTCTCACAGACATGAATTTAAAAAGATACTACTTTTCAGTATGTTAAAAGCTTAAAAAATGCTACTCGGTCTATGGCAAAATTTCAATTTGGAATTCCTACATGAAAGTCGAAAAAAGTTTGACAAAAATGCCAATACAGATAATACTTATTCAGAAAGGGTTTGCTTCCATATAGATTGAAGTGTTTACGTCATATACATACATCTACGTCTGTGGTACACCCTTTGTGTCACTCACGTTTAATGTTCTACACCGTGTGATATTCAATCCTAGTGCCGTGTGATAATCGGTCAAAGGGAGATCGGAGTGAGATCAAACTGAAGTGCATTTCCTATATTAATATAAAGGCCCACTACTATGATGATAGTTCAAATGAAATTTCGAGCTCACAGTAACCAACTAGATTTTTGACGCTACTTCGTACACGTGGATTTCAGAAGTAGGAAAAATAATGAAAAATACCGCTTCTAGAGTACGTATCAAAATCAAATTGTACCATTAATTAGGTTAGACCTTCGGAAAAACTAAAACCGCGTCCAATTTGGTACTGTAGTTTTTACGTAACAAATACACACAGACAGAAAAAATCTGAAAGTTATTGTTTTGGCATGTCTTATTAAGACCTCTCAAATTATTTTTTCTTAAATATCTCTGAAATAAATATAACTTACTTTCAATTAAAAAAACTTTAATTTTTGTAATAGTTATTCTTCTATAATTCTCTAAGTGTTGATGAATGTTACTTATATTCCAGTTTTTTTATACTAAAATAAAACTATAATAATTTGCTGCATCGACAGTGTCAGAATTTAATTCACACTTTAATGAAAGAAATTATCTAAAAAAAATATATAGATAATAAAATCACATTGTTCCGGTTGGTAAACAAACGGCTCCACTCTTTCGTTGTATATCTACCATTTATGGATTACTGAAGGGCACAAAACGTACGGATTAGCGTTAAGCTTTTATGGAAAACCAACAATTTGGACCGCTTCACAAACAAGTTCGATAAAATAACTCATTACCTACGTAAACACGATACAATAATTTCCAGATTATACCAAAAATCCTACCATAGGTAACGATGTTCACAGTAAAAATATATTTTATGTTCACGACTGTAAATTTTAATGGAGTAGTTAAATGATAGTGTTTTGCAGTTTTCCTCATATTTTAGAGCACATTTTGAAAAAAACAGTAATTACCATGACTGATGTGACAGCGAGATATAAAATTCTGTTCACATATAACGAAATTTCTTGATTTATTAATCTATGTACGTACGACAATAAGCATGTATGGCAATATTGTAAGTAGATTTATAAAAGGTTTTCAGATACAAACCTACGTAGTTCGCACTTACTATGTGAATATGGTTCCGTTATATTTATATATTTTCTAATAATAGAAATATATATACGTTAATCTTGTACAATATAAAATCGTAAAATAAAATAAACATTGTTTTGAATTTTTAAAAAATTCTGCATTCTATTCTTAAAAATGAATTTATATTAAAAACAACCTCAGAATGTATCGTGCCCGTTTTATTTTGGTGCGTACTAAAAATTCAATTATATAGCAGTACCTACGCTCCTTTAGCAATATTGCGTAACATAAATATAACTTACATTTGCAGGGAATATTATTGCAAACATTACTAAATATAAACGATATAAGCGTAGTGATGTATTTGCTACGAGATATTTACGAGACTACAAGTATAATAATAATAAAATCGTTTTCATAATATAATTGTTACTTTTTCAAAATAACAGAATGATTTACAACAATTATTAAAAGAATTCAAGGTTTTATATTTTTTTATGGAAATTTTAACATTAAATAATAATTAAACTAGGCAATCCATTTTAAACGCACACAATTAATATCTTTATCGTGATAATTATATTAGCCTTTAACTGTCCATTGCTGAACATGAGCCTCCCCTTTGGGGGGTTTTGCCAATAGTTGCCACACTTGGCAGACGGATTGGCAACCACAGTTAGACTTTGGAGATGTTTTAAGAGGGACGCTGCTGCCCATCCCTTGTCTTCCGTTAGACGCCTCTTACGACGCCCACTGGAAAGGAAGGAGTGGCCTATTCTAATGTTGAGATCACACGGCCTCGTTAAATTAAATAATTAATATCCTAGTGCTATAGGAATCTTATTATTATCCGTACAATAACGCATATCTACATAAAAAAGGATGTTTTAGAAAAATGGCTATTTGACAAATCTTACTGAGATATAATATCATCTACGTAATAATCC